TTAAAAATTATATATATATATATATATATATATATATATAAGTAATAATAGATATATATAAGTAATAATAAATAAATTTTTCATTTGGAATTAAATAATGAGATTTGTTAATTAATAGACGCACAAATAGAGTGATAAAGTCACTATTTTTGAGAATATAGCAGTTAGTTCCCGCAACATGCAAGACATGTATTCAGTAGCGTTTATTGCATAAACGTTTTCAGTTACCAACGATAATCACGTTAACAGAAGTTCATTAGTCTCATATACAGCGGATTAAGCAATTTCATGTGAAACATGATGTTAATTGAAACACAAACGTTCGCAATGTGAGCTTGATTTTATAGAACTGTAGTAATGGTTTGAACTTTTTATACTAATTACTGTGCATGGTCGAAATCATCTAGCTACATTCATCAATTCTTCTTCACATACATATTATATGTATTTGATTATAATATAAATATGCATCTTATTACTATCGTAATTTTAGATTCCTTTTCTATGCCTCCTATTTTTGTTTCGTCAAGTATGTTTGGTTCGTCAAGTATTGATTATTCATAATTTCGCTCGTTTTTTCTTTGTATCGCAGATTGATTTTCTATTAGGATTTACTAAAATATAATCAAATTGAAACATAATTAACATTACAAAAAATAAAATTGGGATAATTAACATTATTAGATCACATTTCTTTGATTGATGAATTACAGCTATTATTATTAAAATATCTCTAAATTTTTAGAGCGAAGTCTAATTCTAAAGAGTAACATTTAAGCCAGAATTAAAAAAATATGTAGCTTAATTATCATTTTTTAAAAGTGAGATTTCATTCTGTAGAATTAGATTCCACTTTTAAAGAGTTATTTATACGTATTCTTTGCCTAATAATTTTAACAAGGTGAATATAATTAAAAAGTCTTAAATTTTTTCTGCAAGTTCAACAAGAAATCTATATTTTGCCAGAAGGGAGAGATCTTTTGATGATTGCGCGAACATAAACTTCGACGACGTTTCTCTGAAAGATTAGCGATTGGTTCCCTTAACGCTCGGGGCGAACCCATCTCAAATATTCTGACGTGGTCTCGGGATCCCGATGCCTCGGTGCGTCGTGCCGCGTGGAAATCTCGGGAGAGGCACGTTTTGGCAAATACTTGTGGGTGGTAAACGCGTTCGCGTTTCTCTTCCACGCACATAATGCGTCCGAGCGCGTGCATGTTGCTTCGTATTTCCGGTGCCGTTAATTCGAGAGCTGAACGCCGGAATTACAAGTCGTTCTCGAGGAGAAAAAGAGAGATTCTTACTCTCTCGTCTCTCTTTGTTCTCTCCATCTTGGCAAGCATCTCCCACATCGGGAACGACGAAAGAACGTGCGTACACGCGTCTCACGCTCGGGACCACCCGGGCGATCGCTTCATTACGTAAATTCGCCACCACTCGCGTCCTTCGCGTCTTCGCGTGCCCGTTTCATTCGTGCACGCGCCGTCTCGTCGCCCATTCTCCGTGCGATACCAAGCAACGATGCTCAAAGGCGATTCCGCGCGAAATATCAAGATA